CTAACCCATAATCAACAAAGATCTAACCCAGTTCTCCCTAACCCATGGTCAACAAAGATCTAACCCAGTTCTCCCTGACCCATGGTCAACAAAGATCTAACCCAATTCTCCTTAACCATGGTCAACAAAGATCTAACCCAGTTCTCCCTAATCCATGGTCAACAAGGATCTAACCCAGTTCTCCCTAACCCATGGTCAACAAAGATCTAACCCAGTTCTCCCTAACCATGGTCAACAAAGAACTAACCCAGTTCTTCCTAAGCCATGGTTAAGCAGAGATCCTAACCCAGTTGTGATCCAACTTCTTAATTCTTACAAGATTTAGACAAATCTCACAGGGCAAAAGATAGACTCTTTCCAATCGTTTCTGTTCTGTACCATCCCATGTTGAAATTGTGTCTTTGTCCTACTATTGTTATGGCTGTTCTCCTTCCAAAAAATCCTTAATTTTGGTCCAAATTAAACATCTGTCCTTTGTTTTTTCGTAAATTGCCCATTTTTGAGAGATTGCTTAGGTGAGTGAAGTCTCACCAAGATTCTGAATGCTCGAAATTGCTACTCTTTCAATCTTAGCCGTGTAAGATTCCAATATTCTGTTTTTCACCTTTTTTTTTGGTAGTTCAGACGATGTGGACTTTCGTGGCTCCACCACCACGCTGACACAGCCCAGCGCTGCATCTTTTGCAATGGCTCAAATGCAGCACGTTTCGAATCTGTCCACTTCATCAATGCCGTGGTTGGGCAGCGGGCAAACCAGTACCGGAGCTGGTATAGTAAGTAACTTCTCTTTGAACATTCTTCCCCATTTTAATACCATAAAATATTTTGTCTCTTCATCTTCCCTCCACAATGTTACATAGGGTGACCCACGTATTTGTGTGTGTGTGTGTGTGTTTGCTGCCTTGCGTTACTTATCTATATATATATAAAAGTGAAATACCATCGTGCATCATCACAAAACCTCCAGAACTGTAAAACCTACAAAATTGAAATTTGGCACGTATGTTCCTCTTGGTTTCTAGGTGCTCACTAAGAAAGGATTTTTCGAAATGACCATCAGAGCCTTAGTATATCGTATATTGTTATTAACACGCTCTGATGCTAAGGAGTTCTAGTCCCACTCCCCACCTGAAAAGAAATATCTTCCAAATGCAAAACACAAGCAGAGGAGAGGAGTATAAGTTTTGGTTTTAGGTTCACAGCAACACACAGCTTTAGTACAGAACAGTTGAGTTAAGCCACACCCAGGCTGTCTCCTTCTCGCTCACACAGCAAATACTGTTTCAGTTTCCAAACAGCCCTCAACTCTCTCACACACTGACAGGATGCTAGCCAGATGAATACTGATGGGTGCTGGTAGGCAGAGGCAGAATTTTTTCCCCCTTGTTTTCCTCCCCAAAAACTAAGCCCGGTCATATAGTTTCATAGCGAAGCACAGGTATAGAGCTAGTTAAGTAATAAAGGCAGGATATGTATGGAGAGAGAGAGAGAGGTAGATAGGTAGGTAGGTAGAAGATGATAGATAGATAGATAGATAGATAGATAGATAGATAGATAGATAGATAGATAGATCTATTTAGCATATGGCATGTCATACATGGACTAACAATTTATACTAGCGTTTCATCTAGATTAGTAGAACACAATAAAATACAATTATGTTCAAATACCAATGTCTAGGACATCTTTGTATTATACATACATGATGGATGGATGGATGGATGGATGGATGGATGGATGGATGGATGGAGCATCAATCCTGTAAACTTGTTATATGAGGACCGCAAAATGCTGATACATGATGTACATTTACTAAGCCACTAGATGGTAGTAAATTACCAGATTCTTCTAACCTTAACATTTCTTTCATGGATATCTTAGCAGCAAATGGCCCCAAGATTCACTTTTATATACACTGGGGATTTAATATGAAACATTGTAAGGGCATACCATTTTATTTTTGTTACAAACGCGAGCTATTCTGAGCAACCAAGCCGATGGTGAATTTAATTGCTTTCGCACGCAGCTCATCAAACGGAATTTGAACAACGTCAAGAGAATGACATCTCACCCCTTCCATCAATATTGTAAGTACTTCTTCTGACTGACAGCCCGAATGACGGGGGAATAAGGTCGGGAGGTGATGAAAGGATCAAACCTAAAACCAGAGGCAGAATTCACTATTTCTACTTCTTGGCATCAAACTTTAAATTTGAGAAAAGGTGGAATATCAGCTGAATTAATTACAGCAACTTAAAGAAGAGCCTTAGACATGAGATCTGTTTTTGCATTTCTCCTTCCTTTTCACTTTTCATTTGTCTGAAATGTTACAGGGTTTCCTGTTTGATCAAGGGGTTGGACTAGGAGACCTCTAAGGTCCCTTCCAACTCTTGTTATTCTGTGGCAGTTTCTCTGTTTTGTTATGATGTGTTAATCACAATTTCTTGTTTGGGCACTTGGGATGGTTTTCCAGATCTTACTGGAGCCCAGGATGGCAGCGTCCGAATGTTTGAATGGACCAGGCCTCAGCAGCTGGTTTGCTTCCGTCAAGCAGGCAACGCCAGGGTGACCAGAATGTATTTCAATCCTCAGGGCAATAAGGTAAGGGCTTTCCCTTATAAAACAGATATAAAATGAAAGACCGCGGTCATTAAATGAACATGGCCATTAAGCGAACTATAGTGCAGTTTTAGGCAAAATCGGAAGTAACTCTAGTCTTTAGGAAAACCATTGTAAAGAAGACCACAAGACCCTTCAAACTGATGTTTCATTACCCAACTATGTAACATCATCAGGAACCTCTGTGGCGCAGTGGTTAGAGTGCAGTACTGCAAGCTACTTCTACTGCAGCCAGCTGCCTACAGTTTGGCAGTTCAAATCCCACCAGGCTCACGGTTAACTCAGCCTTTCATACTTCCCAGGTGGGTAAAAGGTGAAGCCAAATTGTTGGGGGCAAATAGGATGAGTCTGTAAGCCGCTTAGAGAAGGCTGTAAAGCACTATAAAGCAGTATATAAGTCTAAGCGCTATTGCTATCAGTGTTAGAAGGGAGTAGCAGAATGGAGAGGAGGAAGAGGAGAAGGTAAAAGAGCGGTGAAGCACACTATGGGATCTTTGGTGCTCTCGGAGCTGGGTTGTTTGCTTATAGGCATTTAATTATCTGACTAGGTTACATCATCAGTGCTCCACCAGTAGTTAAATTTCTCTCTTTCTTAGCTGAAAGAGGGAATTTGCCAGCAGGGCAGCTCTTCCACCACCACATGTCTTAAAGCTGACAAAATTGAGAAGAGGATGAACTCAGCCTTGTATTCGATGACAGGAACCCTAAACGTTGGACATGATCACTAGATTGAATTAGGTCCAACTTTCAATTAGGGGGTCGAAAAAAGTAAAATCACTCTTGATAAATGAACATTTATGAGTGGCTTTTTGGAGCATATGCTTACAGAGCCACGAATGCATGAAATCTGTCTCTTGCAGTGTGGGGTGGCTGACGGAGAAGGATTCTTAAGCATTTGGCAAGTAAACCAAACTTCAAGTAATCCCAAACCCTATCTGGTAAGTAATCAGGAGAAATCTGCACATTTTTTTAAAAAAAAATTCTGCTTCTCTCTTTCGATTGAGACACGTAGAAAACAGAGGAGAAAGGGCTGGAAAATCAGGCTCCTTTAATACAAATTGCTCAGTAATCTTACTTTATTAACCCCTCTGATGAAGTGGACATCCAGCCAGATTAGAAAAGTAAGATTGCTGGGCAATTTGTATTAAATGAGTCTGAATTTTCTAGTTCCACCCCCCTCTATAAGAACTTTATAAAGCCCCCATTTGCTCTCCAAGCTATTAGAATCTAATTGTTAGTCAAACGTGCGTGCATATTTACAGTATATACGTCTATAAGCATTGCACCTGTCTGGTGCGGTGTTGGCAACTTCGAGACCTGTGGTCTTCAAATCCCAGAATCCCCTAACCAGCTTGCTTGCTGAGGAATTCTGGGAGTTGAAGTCCACCCACCACAAAGTTGTCCAGGTTGAGAAACATTGCTCTGGTGTCTTCTTGGGAGACCTCAAGTCATTCCATTCTTTCTCATCCGATAAAGCCGTGATGGCGAACCTATGGCACGCGTGCCAGAGGTGGCATACAGAGCCGTCTCTGCGGGCATGCAAGCTGTCATTCCAGCTCAGCTCTGCTATGCATGCACGCACACCTCCCACCAGCCAGCTGGTCTTTGGGTCTCTGCTGTGCGTATGAGGGGGGTGGTGGCTGGGGGCATGTGCAGGAGACATGCACAAGGGACCTGCATGCATGCACGGGGAACATGCATGCGTGGAGGGAGGGTGCATGCGCAGGGACAGGGCGCATGCACGGAGATGCGCACGCATTGCTTGCTTGTTTGCTTGCTTATTTTTTATTTATTTATTTATTTATTTTCTGGACTTTCATCGCTCCACTTTTGGATCCTATCAGCTGCAAAACTTCCAGATGGCCAATAATGTGCATTGATTTCTAATCCTTGAAATCCATTTTAGATGGTACACAGAGACGAGGGAAACATCTTGTCCTTTCCAAGTGTCATATTTTAATTAGATTTCTCTCCCCTTAGCGATTGCAAGAAAAAGATTATAATTATGAATGAGAGTGTTAATTAAGCTCCTTTTTTCATTCCCTGGGCTTTACAGCTGGGAATATATATATGTATATGTGTGTATGTGTATATATATATATGTATGTATGTATGTATGTATGTGTGTATGTTTTCTTAAGTTTTCGCGGGTACTTACATGTATGGCATTCAGCTTTGTTCGGGTATTTTCCCACATCATTGTAGTTGTGCTTTTAAAGTTGTAGCAACGTTTCGGCAGAATCTCATCTGCCACCATCAGGCTTCTGTATTGTGTTCGTCTGTTACAGATATATATATAGGCAATTGTTAGCTCTCGTGGGGGTTCCAGTTGTTTGGCTTGAGAAGATGGGATGGCTGGACCATCTGAATGTAGGATGTGTGGTTTGTACCCGACCACTGAACGCACCGTGTCTGTGGGTGTTGTTCTTGTGTTGTTGTTTTTACAGAGTTGGCAGTGCCACAGCAAAACCACAAGTGACTTCGCCTTCGTTACCTCTTCGAGTCTAGTGGCCACATCTGGACAGTCCAACGACAACCGGTGTGTTCAGAAAAACAAGTCGGGCGGGGACAGTCACCCCATGTGGGTTTGGTGCAGGGGTGAACTTCAAAAAAATTTAGCAACTGGTTTTCTGCTGGGTGGATGTGGCCATCGTGGGCCTGGCCTGGGGGAGGCGTTTTCTCCCTCCCTGGACTCTGGAGGCTTCCCTGGTGTCCTGAGGCCCTCTGGAGGCCAGAAACAGGGCCATTTTTCAGCCTTCTGGAGCCTCCAGGTGGCCCGTTTTTCACCCTCCCTGAGCCCTGCACTTACCTGGGATCCAAAATAGGCTGTGTGGAGACTTCACGGAGGAGAGGGGAGGGGCTGGGAAGGGCCAGCCAGTCGTTGCAACTGCCAGTTCGGTGAACCAGATATAAAATTAACACCCGGTTCACCCAAACCGGTGTGAACCAGTAACCACCTGCTCCTGGTTCAGTGACTGTTGAGCACTAACGATCTTACATGGGTGTGTTTTCTTTTATAGAAATGTGTGCTTGTGGGACACCTTGGTGTCATCCTCTAACAACCTCATACATGGTAGGTTTCTTGCCAAACATCTTGATGTAAGTAAAATGATTCAAGGGGAATCCTATTTTATTTAGCTTTATTTTGTTTATTTCATCCATGTATCCCAGCCTTATTGTTTCTATAAATAACTTAAGGGGTGAACATGCCTAATAATCCTTCCTCTGTTTTCCCCAGAGCAGCAACCCTGTGAGGTGAGTTGGGCTGAGAGAGAACGGCTGGCCCAAAGTCACTCTTTCATGGCTAAGGGGGAACTAGAACTCCTAGTCACCTTGTGATTGGCCCAAAGTCCCTCAGCTGGCTTTAATGGCTAAGGTGGAACTAGAACTCCTAGTCACCTGATGATTGGCTCAAAGTCACTCAGTTGGCTTTCATGGCCAAGGTGGAACTAGAACTCTTGGTCACCTTGTGATTGGCCCAAAGTCCCTCAGCTGGCTTTCATGGCTAAGGTGGAACTAGTACTCCTAGTCACCTAGTGATTGGCACAAAGTCACTCAGCTAACTTTCATTGCTAAGGCAGGACTAGAACTCCCAGTCTCCTGGTGATTGTCCCAAAGGTGGCTTTCATGGCTAAGGTGGGATTAGAATTCCCAGTCCCCTGGTGATTGACTCAGTCACTTAGCTGTCTTTCAGGGCTAAGGCAGGACTAGAACTCCCAGTCCCCCACTTTCTAGCCTGCTCCCTTAACCATCCTGTGTGTTTCTCACAAGGCAGAACCAAAGTCTTCCTTCAGAAGTTTGGTGGCCTATAAACCCTCCCGAATCAACCGGATCCGTTTGAAAACTTCCATTATAAAACTTGGCACTCACCAACCTCTCCCTTCTCCTTTCCTCTCCTTGAGTGAGCCATTGCTTCCTGCCCCACAGCCTCCGCTCGGAAAGATCTGGAAAGAGAGTCGGCAGAATTTGCCTGTCTCTGAAGCAGACAAAACACCAGCTAATCAGCATGATAAGAGCCCAAGCCATGCGTAAATGTGGAGGAGGAGGAGATAGCTTCTAGGACCCATAATCTGTGCATGGCCAGAGAATATGAAAAGTTAAGAGAGCAACCAGCTGTCCCTGACAGAAGTGGTTGATGGATTTTTTTTTTCTTCTTCTGAAGATGCAAAGGAATTTGGGGGAAGAAGCAGGAAAGGGGGCTCCAGGTTTTCAATTGCAGTCTGAACTTTTCTTTTAAAAAGAAAACAAATCCTGAATTTGCAGGCTTACCCTGAGACAGAAATGCGGAGTATCAGAATGCATTCCTTTTACCACTGCAGTCACCTGGGGGTGGGGGGCTTTCAATCCATTGTTTTATCGTTCATTTTTCTTGCTCTTCGATTGGCCTGGAATTTGCATTTGGGCATAGCTAACATTAGAAGACAGCAATGGGTTAAATAATTGTGTAATTTCAATCATCTGAAAGCACTCCTCATCCTCCAAATGTTGGTTGTTGTTTTTTTCTACCTTCTAGCAAATAGAATAGCTTTCTGAATGTAACCAGGTTCAGAAGACATTCTAAGCCGGAGTCTACAAACATGGCAACTTTACAACTTGTGGATTTCTACTCCTAGAATTCCTCAGCCAAACTATGCTGGCTGGGGAATTCTGGGAGTTGAAGTCCACACGTCTTAAAGTTGCCAAGTTTGAAGACTCCTGTCCTAAGCCATAAGGTGGGCTTGCTTGTATGTGTGTTATGTCAGTCCTGCCGCTCTAGTTGGTGAATCATGGTTTAGCACATTGTGTGAACCTAGATGACTAGGGTTTAATCCATACACAATGGTTGGACAAGTCATATCCTATGAATATTGCCTCTGATGTACACTCCAGATGCATTTCAAAGTAGACTTTAGAAAAATAGATTGTTGGGAGACACCTTTGAAAAATAGGAATATAGATTATCTATATTCCCACAGTCAACCCACAATCAAATTGTGTCAACATGCTGCCCACCAGATATGTTAGGACAATTGCCCACAGACTATATCCATGATGCCGAACCTATGGCAGGCGTGGCACACAGAGCCATTTGTGCTGGCACACGAGCCGCAGGCAAACTCACCTCACTGCTCATGCGCGTGCCTCCCAGCTGATTTTGGGCCCGTTTGAGGCCTTTTTCGGCCTCCCAGAAGCTTGAGGAAAGCCTTTGCAGGCCGAAAAATAGGCCCGTTTTGTCACTTCCTATATTTCTGGAAATACCAGAAGTGACGAAACAGGCCCATTTTTTCAGCTTGCAAAGCCTGCAGAAGCTTTCCTCAAGTCTCTAGGAGGCCAAAAAAGGCCAAAAATGGGCCAAAAATCAGCTGGGAGACGCAGTGCAGGTAAAGGAGCGGTGGGGGGGAATTACGTTCTTATGCATAGGGGGTAGGGCTTGTGCGCGTGTTGCTTTCTGGGGCAAGCACACACACAATTTTTGGCACAGGAGCCCAAAAAGGTTAGCCCCCACTGAACTAGATGAACCAAGATGCTAGTTAGGGAGTTCTGCAGATTGTCGATGGAGATTCTCAGTCATCCAGGTCATAGTTGTTCCAAAGGTGCTTCTTCAAAAGGCGACTGGACTTCCTTCTTTTTGCTTGAAGACATTTCACTTATCCAAGAAGCTTCTTCAGTTCTGAAGTAGCAAAACAGGTCTTCAAGCAAAAACAAGAAAGACCTGCTGCCTTTTGTAGAGCACCCTTGGGACAATTCTGCAGATTGTTTTTCCAACATATCTGAAGGATACCAGGATGGGAAAAGCTGATACAGCTATACAAGTTCCACCTATTTGCTATCTCCTTGACTTCCCTTGTTCTTACATTACTCAGCTGAGGGACATGTTGAGGCTTAGGACCATTTCTAAGAACCCTCTGGATGATTGTCTTCCCTCTTAGCCTTCACGTGTCATGAACATGGCGCCACAGTGCTTCAGTATGCACCGAAACATCAGCTGCTGATTTCCGGAGGCAGGAAAGGCCATATCTCCATCTTTGACATTCGGCAAAGGCAAGCCCTTCACACATTTCAGGCACATGATTCTGCAATCAAGGCCCTCGCCTTGGACTCCTCAGAAGAATGTTTCTGCACAGGTTCTGCAGAAGGGAACGTGAAGGTGAGTTTGTCCACTTTTCCAATCCAGGAACGACAACAAGAGGGATTGAGGGCTGGAAGCCAAGTCTTAGGAAGGGAGATGGAGGGAATGAGTGAAGTTGAGCTTTGAGAAGACCAAGATGGCCCTTCCATGTCCCTGAAGGGATGGCACAGAGAAGAAGGTCTTAACATTAAGAGTAGTTGAATGAAAAGAAGGACGAGGGGTGACATAATACCCGTGTTCCAATATATAAGGGGCCACCACAAAGAATGGCGTCAGACTATTTTCCAAAGCACCTGAAAGCAAGACAAGAAGAAGTTAACTAGTGGAATTATTTACTTCCAGAAGTTATGAGTGCTCCATCACAGCGGGCTTTTAAGAAAAGATTGGACAGCTATTTGTCCAGATTGATTTAGCGTCTCCAGCTTTAGCAGAGAGTTGGACCAGAAGACCTCCAAGGTCCCTTCCAATTCTGTTATTCCATCCGTTTGATAGTGGATAGTTTGATAGTTTGATTCCTAATTATAAGGAAGGTCTGAACCAATAACAACAGCACTTAGACTTATATACCACTTCACAGGGCTTTACAGCCCTCTCTAAGCAATTTACAGAGAACATTGGCCCCAACAATCTGGGTCCTCATTTTATCAACCTTGGAAGGATGGAAGGCTGACACAACCTTGAGCCAGTGAGGATTGAACTGCTGGCAGTCAGCAGAATTAGCCTGCAATACTGCATTCTAACCACTGCGCCACCACAGCTCATCCATTCATCAGACAACAGTTAAGCAATAGAAGAGAAAATTTTTAGCTCAGGGTTGAACAGTGGAGTCCTTGGTGTCCAAGATCAACCAAGCTCAGAGAAGAGTCCTTGATCCTCTCTGAGCTTGGTTGATCTTGGACACCAAGGACTCCACAATAGTTAAACGAGTCAGTTCCTGGATATTGACTGTCTGGTTTTCCTGCCTGTCTACTTTTTAACAAAAAACATTTTTACCCTAGGTCTGGAGACTGACCGGCTACAGTTTGATCCATTCCTTCAAACACGAACACGCTAAGCAATCCATTTTCCGCAACCTGAGTACAGGAGTCATGCAGATCGAAATGGCTCCGGGCAATCGCATTTTCTCCTGCGGCGCAGACGGCACTCTGAAAATGAGGGTTTTACCCAACGCTTTCAATATCCCCTCAGACCTCTGTGACATTATGTAGCCTCGGCAGCCGCCCCATCGAAAGGAGAAGGCCTGGCCTTCCCTCAAGAGTTACAAGGAATGCAGAATACACTTGGCTTCCCAAGAAATTAGTGCAACATTTAATACCAGTATTGAAGTAGCAGGAAGAGCAAGGTTTACACACGCACGTTCATATTGTTCCAAGCACTGCAGTGGCGCACTCTAGGAGGGGCACCAATCGTGGTTTGTTGGGGAAAGCATGCCCTATTTCAGAGTTAGATTTTTCCGGGGGATACATAGTGGGCCTTTTCAGTGTTCTTCTTTCAACTGTCATGTCCTCCCTCACTTGAATAGTGTCTGTTTCCCTTCTGGTTATGAAAGGGGAGATAAGGATTTCTGAGGGAGTGTAAGTTTTATGGTGTTATTTTTTTTTTATATTCGTAATCATTTCTTGGGGTCCTATAACGAATGACAATATGACGAATGCACTATTTGTGGGCTAATGTGCAATGAGGAATGATTTGGTGGCTCAGCAGGGTTATTGTTTTTAATTTAATGTTGAGGGTTTGTTGATTTTTTAATTTTATTTAATGTTGAGATCCTTTTCCAGTTAGCATCAATGCACATAATAACCGAGATACGCTACATTACGCAGTTACTATAGTATCAGTTTCTTTTTTTTCCAAAATTGCACGTTCATGTTGATCGCTATGGATGGTCAACATTTTTGAACCATAATATTGCCATCCAAAATCAAATCCTGGTGTTTCCATGTTCCCAGCGTATCTTTGTGCAATATTTAGCCCCTCGTTTGCTGTGAGTGTCCTCATTTCTCAGTACCCTGGATGAAAGAAGAATCAAGAGGGAAAAGTGACAGAAGAGATGACGGAGGAGGAAAGGACTTGTGTGTTTTCTGAAGACCTTCATCTCATACTACATTCTACTTTTAGTGTTCCTCCTCTTCCCTCTATTTATTTTCAGCCTTGTCATTTTGATACAGGAATGTATTGTGGACACCAAAAGTTTTCAAGAAACTATAGCTAGCATCTCATCATGACTTGAGTTTTATTTGGGCCAGTAAGCACACATATACACACAACACTTAATTGAATAATACTATGGGAAAATGCAGTAGCAAACATATCCACTGCTCATTTGAGAAACTGATATCAGCCTTCCACCTGGCCAGCTAAGAAAGAGTTGACAAATTTAAACCAACTTCCGCAGCGTAATTGTATAAACTATGCAGAGGTCACTCTTGTTTGCTTGTAATATACTAGCTCTTGTCATATCTAGACGTATTTTCTCTGTTCTAAACAAGCCAACACATTCTTACTAAGAGAAACAGCCGATGTCTGTGTACTTCAATGTTGATGAATTGTATTATTATTATTTTTTCCCTCTTGTGAGTGTTCGTGTATGTGCTGTACTGTACAAGCGAAACAGAAGCCGGTGGGATAAATTGCACCTTTGCCTAAAAGCAATTTTAAACTGCAAGCTGTGAAGTATGTATATGAGAAGAAAGCAACTATCATTTGTTAGTTTTATCTTTGGAAATTAAATAAATTCCTTTTATTTCACAGGACTCAGCCTCAGGGATGTAGAGTTGGCATTTTATTAGGGGGCTTTGGAAGTTGTTGATACTAAGACTGGTTTTGACTGGTTTCCTTCTTGCCTAGAAGGGTCGAAAAAAGTTAAATGCTGTGGGGCAAGACTTTCATCTTACTAGGATAGCATTCCTACCTTAAATTTCTGCTTTTTAATAAGCTTTTAACTGATACCGTGTTAATTTGAAAATCCTTCTTCTAGAATTTCAGGCATTTGGGTGTGTGTTTTTTTAAGCACAGAAATATAATTACGTGCTAGGCAAAAGACATATGCAAACTTGCAAGGAGAACGCTTTCAGCTAATCTAAAGAAGATTTATCCCAGTATGGTAACATCTACATGTTTTCTAGCGTATTCTGGGACTTGTAGTTCCAACCTATGAGGAAGGAATCCATCTGGGAAGAACTGGTCTAGATAATGGATGAGGTAAAGGAAGCTCCAACAGATTTTTTTTTTTTAAGTCATAGACAAGTCTTTGTAGAGAAAATAGGGATGGATTTGGCCAAAATCACCCACAATTAAGGAGCTTATTTTATAGAGGTTCCTAATCAATCAATATAGGGACACGGTGGCTCAGTAGCTAAGACGCTGAGCTTGTCAATCAGAAAGGTCGGCAGTTCAGCAGTTCGAATCCCTAGCACCATGTAGCGGAGTGTTTGTCCCAGCTTCTGCCAACTGAGCAGTTCAAAAGCGTGTAAAAATGCAAGTAGAAAAATAGGGACCACTTTGGTGGGAAGGTAACAGCATTCCGTGCGCCTTTGGTATGTAGTCATGCCAGCCACATGACCACGGAGACGTCTTTGGACAGCGCTGGCTCTTCGGCTTTGTAACGGAGATAAGCACTGCCCCCTAGAGCCAGAAACGACTAGCACTGATGTGCGAGGGGAACCTTTACCTTTTAATCGATCCATAAAAGCCACCACTGGTGTGTTTATCCCATGTGAGTACAACTATGTGATGGCAAAATTTGCTTTGCCCGACATGTTTTTATACCCTGGGTGAGAAAAGCATCTTTATACAGAGCACTCCACTAACACTTTAAGATTATTGCTTCTCTCCCATCATAAGGTTGGCTTTGCACTTTGGTGTGTATGTGCACGTGGTCTTTGCAGCAAACACAAAAACAGAGGAAGGCAAAGGAATGACACAAATACAGGACACATATCTTGTATTATTTTCATATCAGGCAACAGTAGGATTGCAGGGTACATTAATAGGGAATTCTTATTATAACTGCCTTAACATGAGCAGGTGGGTGCAGATTCATCTCTGTAACCAACCGACAACCAGAGATGACCAGCAGCACTCCAGGGTCCTAGGAGCTGCCCTCAACTTTGAAAGCATGGTCCTCAGATCTAACCAATGGACACGCCAGCCACTGTAATCTGTATCCCGATACACTCCTTGTTTTGACATTTTCTGAACAGGAGATGGAAATTTGAAGAGGTTCTGAAAACAAGCCCTCTGTAGAGGTGTGGGTGACTCAAAGGCTGTCCAACACTAGACGAGAAAGTGGACAGGGTACTGTATCAGAAACCCGTGTTCCCAGGTATGTAGATGCTTATTCAACCAGTTGTAGGAGAGCATGGCCAACACCGGTACCAAGGTCGCATTTGAACCAGGAGACACTTTCTGTTCGAACCCTTCCAAAGAAAGGCACAGTTTCAGTTCAAAGCGAGCATCCAGCTGCTTCTCGCGCAAGAGGTCAAAAGCGAAGGCCACGTGCATGTGGTTCTTATCGGTGATATACAGCACCCCACCGGCCACAAAGGCATTGCCAGCCTTGGACTGCGGGTAGGTGGTGTTGATGTGCCGCAATACAGAAAATGTCTCCTCATCGACTTCTGCCACCATGATGTGCGCATCAGGCCAGGAAAGGTACATCACCCAGAGACCATTTTCATCCACTGCAATGCTGAAATACGACTTGGAAGTGCTGAAGAGATACATGCGCTCATAGTACCAAGAGTTCTCAATGAACAGTGCTTTGGATAGGCCCGTCTCAAAGTGGTACCTGCAAGGAAGATGGCGGAAAAGAGCTGAGAATGATCGTCCAAGACAGGGGTCTTCAAACTTGACAGCTTTAAGACTTGTGGACTTCAACTCCCAGAATTCCTCCTCCAGTCATGTTAGCTCAGGAATTCTGGGAGTTGGAAGTCCACAAGTCTTAAACTTGCCAAGTTTGAAGATCCTTGATCCAAGAGAACAAGATAGCACCCTGGTTTTCAAAACTTATGAAAAACACAACAAAGGCACCTCACATAAATTCCTTTCTGATTTCTTTAGGTTTAAGCGAAGGGCAATAAGGAATCTGAATATATTGGTTTTGTTTTTCATAGAATCACAATGAGAAAGGTCTTACAGATTGTCTAATGAAATAGAGTTTCTCAACTTGGCATTTTCCAGATATGTATGGACTGTAGGTGTAAGGCCACACCTAGAGTACTGCATCCAGTATTGGTCACCACACTATAAAAAAGATGTTGAGACTTTAAAGAAAGTGCAGAGAAGAGCAACCAGGATGATTAGGGGACTGGAGGCTAAAACATATGAAGAACGGTTACAGGAACTGGACATGGCTGGTCTAGGGAAGAGAAGGACCAGGGGTGATAGGATAGCAGTGTTCCAATATTTGAGGGGCTGCCACAGAGAGGAAGGGGTCAAGCTATTTTCTAAAGCCCCCAAAGTCCAGACAAGGAATAATGGATGGAAACTGAACAAGGAGAGATTCAACCTGGAAATAAGGAGAAACTTTCTGACAGTGCAAACAATCAACCCATGGAACAGAAGTTGCCCTTGGAAGTTGTGGGAGCACCATCACTTGAGACTTTCAAGAAGAGATTGGACTCCCATTTGTCAGAAATGGTGTAGGGTTGGACTAGCTGACCTACAAGGTCCCTTCCAACTCTGATTATCTGTTATCTGACTTCCAGAATTCCCAAACCAGCATGTACATTGATGAGGATCCTCGGAGAGGAAGTCCACATATCTGGAAGCCTCCATTGTTGGGAAACAGATTGTACACTGTTCAGGAAGATGGGAAAGGAAGGGAAGAGCAAATACTAAAGAAATCCTCCTTTTTCCTTCTTGAAAAACTTTGCTTTTGAAATTTCCATTCAAAGAAAAGGGAAGTGGGAGGAAGAGTCTCATGCATTTATCTTTTGTCAATGCAATCCAGGTGTCTGGATGAATATCCTGTTCGTCACTGCATTTATCCTCTCCCTTTGCTTATCATGCTTCTAATAAATCCCAAGGAAAAACATAATGAGGAAATTCCTCCTTGGGAGCTTTTTCAAGACTGGGCTCTCTGGGCAGCCAGGTGGATGTCAGAGTGACGGGAAGATTTGCACAATCAACTCCCACCAGCTGGAAAAAACAGCTCAGAAACATTCCGACAATCGGGTAGAAGGGTCCTTTCATGGACGGGAGGCGGAGTGAGAAACAGCAGGGAAAATTTTTATGCTCATAAAATAAAAAAAACCCACCACTTGGAGGACAGCTAAACATCTGAAATAAAGCCAGATTCCTATCCAAACCTTCACCCATCTTCTCTTCTGTGTCTTCTGAGAGAAAAGTTGCAAGTTTTGAGATGAGTCCCCAGTCTTTCAGTGCATCCAAACAACAAGCAAAAACTTCCTGCTTCAATTTTTAGCCAAAAATTCCTGTCTGCCACTTCTTCCGTGGAAGCAATTGGAAGCCCCCTTTTAGGGAGCCAGGGATAACTAAAAGATGTTGCTTAATGATCAAGCCTGTAGATTAAGCTCTAAATTAGGCTCTCAAGACCCCTCCTTCGTTTCCATGCTGTGGCCCCCTTTCCAAGGGGAGAGAAAGAGAGTGAGGAGCAACCCACACCTGCTTTCAAACTAGGCAATGTTGTTTTTGGCTCACACATCAAAGGCAAGGAAGTGGGGAAATTACTCATGCTTTGCACCTGAGACCTTGTGAGCCAGCAGCACTAAGCCAGAGCTCTTGAGCTATCTCAGCTCCCACACATTTCCAACCAGATGGACAGCCCTGCTTGTTACATGGAGCTTTGACTCAACTGTACAATGTCAACCCAATGTTTTTTTTAAAAAGGGGGATGGGTCTTTGGTAGCTATGGGATAAGAGGAACAAAGGATGTTGTTCTGCCTAAGCAAATGTACAATTTAATGGAGAAGACAGGTGAACATGTGGCAGTGGCTGATGAGTTCTGGGCACAAGCCAACTGGTTCTGGCCCCTAGAACAGAGACACAACTTCTGGAAGGAGATCCATAGGTTCTGTAGAGCAAGAACAAGCCTGAATTCAAGGGAAGAAATCTCTTTCAATCATTCATCCATCTAGCCCCAGAAGACTTCCAGATTCTAACACAATGTCCATTTCTGCAAAGCAGGAAGCAATAATACTACACAAACACCTGGCTTTTCAGTTGGCAAAGGGACCCAGAATTACAAACCTAGAAAATGACCTCTTGAAGGCCACACAATCCAAGAGAACAAGAATAGGAAAAGCTGCCTCACACTGATTCTGACCAACACTCGATCTCAGTACTGTCCACACTGATGAGCAAACACCTCCTCGTGGTTTTGTTTTACCTGGAAATACTGGGGGGGGGGGGTAGTTTACTTTACTTTATTGTCATTGCACCTCGTACAACGAAATCAAACACCATCTTCAGTGCACATCATGACCACGAAAACAAACACAAATACACATCCTTCACATTCTATGCATTGAATTGAAAACCCCTGACATTGCATTAATATTACACTATACAGTAGAGTTCAACAGAGCTACTGCCCTGGGATAGAAGCTGTTTTTCAGCCTATTTTTCCTTGTTTTTATTGTCCTGTACCATCTGCCAGGTAGTAATAGCTCCAAAAAAATGGGATTCCAGGATGAGATGGATCTTTAAGAATGTTTTGAACTTTCTTAAGGCAGAGGGAGCTATAAAGCTCTTCCAAAGAGGGGAGAGGGCGACCCATGA